GTAACACAAAGTTTTAAAGTTTTGAATAGGGGGGGGGGGGTTAAAATCTCTTTAGACAACAGGTGCAGACTACACTAAAAACCCCTGTTAACAACACCTGCTGCTCACTCACCTGTGCAAAGTAAAGGTTCATGAGGCTGAGTGTGAAGAACTGGAGGCAGACAGGGAAGCAGTAGAGCAGCCAGAAGGGAAAGGGCCCCAGATTGTTGGCTGTGACAAAGTTCTTGAAGTAGAAGGAGAAGAGCACGGTGCGCAGGGCCGACCACAGCAGGCACAGGGACAGGAACACGGTCTGGTAGCTGAAGCGCTTGTGTCGGTACCGCAGGACCAGCCAGAGCTGCACGTAGATGAAGATGAAGAGGAGGGAGTAGAAGACGGTGTAGACCACAGTCAGGCCCAAAGTGACATAAGGGGGCACGGCCGGGCTCAAGGTAGGCAGGGGAAAGGACTTATCCATCGGCGACGGCTCCTTCTCCTCCGCCGGGGCCTCCATGAACTGCTGGCCGGGGAGGGGGGGAGGAAGGACCGGTGTTCGCCGCCCCGGTCTGTCTCTCGCTCTCTCTCTCTCTCTCTCTGTCCGCGGCACAGAGAGGGAGGAAGCAGGCTGTGAATGTCGGCTGTCAGGAGGAGGGAGAAAACGCGAGCAGGGGGAAGAAAACAAGGCTCACTTCCTGCTGCAGAGACAACCAGAGCGCACAGAGGCACATGATCAGTGATGAGAATGAGCCGTTTGTCAGGAGCCAACAGCGGGCAGGAAGCTGCAGCTTGGAGCTCAGAGCGAGAGGACCAGCCTCCTCCCTCCTCCCTCCTCTCTCCTCCCCTCCTGCACTCCTTACGTGACGTTACGCATCAGCTGACGCACGCTGCTGTACCTTTAACCCTGTGATGGGGCTTCCCACAGCAGCACCGATCCCTAGAGAGCAGCACAGAGCTGTGACTTGTGTTTACTTTCATTTTTATTAAAGGTGCATTAACAATCTGAACACATGCAGGTACTGAAGCTACAGCGTGCAGGGGTGGATCTGGAAAACCAGGTCTGCTGTCAAATGCTGTCAAATCTAAAACTTCATTTAGATTTAGTCAAATAAAGTGATATTAATTCACTTATAATAAACTGATCTTTATGTGTAAAATCACTGGAGTCACTCACAATCAAAGTACCTGACTATCTTTTTCAGACTTGAGGTCTGTCTCTGGTGTGTTATTAGATATATTATTATTTATTAATTACTTATTTATATTTTGATGCCTCGTGTCTAATTCCAAATGTGTTTAATGTTGCTTTGAATGAGGTCAAATTTAATGATCTTTTATGGCCACATTTTATTCTAAGTTCAATAAAAAAAGCAATGTATTTGGAAAAATGTCTGTAGATTTGGAGAAAAAACAACAACTGATTGACTTCTATATATTTCTATTCAAGGCACTAATGTGCTATAATAATAGAATCTAAAATACCTTCAGTTGGAGGCTTTTTCCAAGCAAATATTCATATATGTGATTGTTTGCGATTAAAGGACCAGTGTGTACGTTTTAGTGGCAACCAACTGATCACCACTCGTGTCTGTGTTTGCCGACCTGTGAATGAGAATAGGCTGTGAAGTCGGTGGGAGAAACTACGGTGGCCGTGAAACTCACGAAAAACACAAAAAGGCTCTAAAGAGTGTTTGGTTTGTTCATTCTGGGCTACCGTAGAAACATGGTGGTTTAACATGGTGGACTCCGTGGAAGACGACCCGCGGCGTCTGTAGATAAAAACATCTCATTGCAAGGTAACAAAAACACAACAGTTCTTATTTTCAGGTGATTAAACCCGAATGAAAACATACCTATGAATATTACATTAGTTAGGAGATGTTACACCATATTCAAACATTACATTTTAGAGTTATGGCATGTTATGTAAATTCTATTATAAATAATGGTTAAAATTATACTGCACTTGTTTAATATTGTACTTAAATAAAGTTTTGAGACAAGGTTGGGCTTCATGGGTAGCAAACAACAGATTTTATTCTTCAGAATATGAGTCAAGCTACAAAAATACTGGATCCTACATATTTTTTAATTAATCCCTCTCTGCCTGGGAACGCCTACATATTTCAAACTCTGCACATAGCCTTTCCATTAAAAATCTGAGGTCTCGAGCTCAAGCTGAGATAGAGAGAGGGTTGTTTACTTGGACTTAACAAACTCCTTAGGGGCCAATGAATACATTATTCATTAGAGGCGGTGTAGTTCTCCCCATAACAAATACACTGATATTCACAAACACTTATAATAAACAGATCTTTATGTGTAAAATCACTGGAGTCACTCTGTTAGTTACGATCCAGAGTAGCCGACGATGTTTTTCAGACTTGAGGTCTGTCCCTGGTGTGTTATTAGCAATATTATTATTCATTGATTATTCATAAATATGTTGATGCCTCATGTCTAACTCCAAATATGTTTAATATTGCTTTAAATGAGGTCAAATTCTGGTAACAGGTTGGTGTGGGGCCCTAAAATTGTCAACAATAAGTGTCTGTCTTATGTGGAATATGAGTCAGAGTGCTTCCCTCGTACCTGTTCTCCAGAGTTAGGGTACCCTTTCTGCCCACAGCTTTAAAATAAACTTTTTTTTTATTGATAAGGAGTCTTGGATTTGGCCAAATGCTAGAAGATGGGATCAGTTTATTTGTAAAAGAAAATTTCTTCCAAACCCTTCGCTGGTGAATAAAAGAAGATACGTATTTAATCTGCACACAAACCTGGGTGAAGTTTGTTATGGTCAGTTGTAGAAGGGGTTTTTTGTTTCACAGGACTGGGGCATGTGAACACGAGGAAGGCCAAGGATGGAGGTCACTCTAGCTCACCTTTGACTGCTGTGATACATTAATCTTTTCACACACAGGGACTCTACCACCCAGGCACCGCACCAAACAGGATGCTGTCAGCTAGCAGTGCTTCCCTCTTGGCTGATATAAAATACCAGAGAACTAGCAGAGAGACTTTTAGAAATGAAGCAAAAGATTTAGACAAATAATGATTTAATTAATGTGATGCAAAATATCTTATGCCTAGTTTGTTCCCAGAGTTCCTTCAGTCCGGCTCCAGGCCTTTGACTTACCCAGTCTCCAGTTTTCTCTGTGAATAAAAAAGAATAATAAAAGCAGTGGTGTAGTAGTGCCTGGAGAAGTGGGTACATTCTTAATTCATACCCTAAATTTAGTTTTTAAAGCGGCCAGTCCAGGGGAGGATAAACACCCTGTATTATAAACAGTGACATGTATGGTGACTCTTATAGTTATAATTATACATGTGGAGTGTAGTATTCCTTATTCAATCCCCATATGAAAACTGGAAAACTATGTCATGCCTTCGCCATCATAGGAAAAAGATTCAGCGTGCAGAACACTACTGAATGACACACACACATCAGAGGGGATTCAGAAGTGAATGCTGACTGAAAAATAAGTGCACTACACCACTGAATAATAAAGTGGCGCCCACTGTTCGCTGGTGGTTCCCAGTCAACACCGTCAGACAAAACAGACAAACAAAAACAAGTCACTGGCCCCAGGGTAAATATCAGCCATCGAGAGTCCAACAAGAGCCTAATGTGTATCACAGTGCACTGAATATGTGAAATGTATAAAGACAAGTATTGTACTTGGGTGAACTACTTTTAGTTTCATACACAGAAAGTCCTGCTGTCATCATAAATATATTTTCTTTCTATTTAACATGCTTGAAAAAGTATTTTTCTAAACAATAAAATGAACAAATACATATTCATCAATGATATTAATATACCTACTGTATGTATATCAATATATATATAGAATATATTCAGAAACCACAGTCGCAAACTTCCTCAAAACGACCAGAAGGTGGCACCTTCCAACTGCATAAAGCTGGAAAGGCAGAGAGGAATAACATTCATAAAACATAAGGTACTAAAATCCATCTGTGGTATCCAGAAAACTGTTGTTGTGGGGTATAGTTTAAATATTATCTGACTGACAATCAAAATCTGCAAAGAAAAGAATCATCTTTACACACAGTGACTAAAATCTTACATTTTAATCTGTCACATATTGTCTGTTTATTTTAAAATCTTAACATGAAACATATTAGAATAAAAAAAAAACACCTTATTGGCTGTCAGTGTGTTTCATCAGAACATATAATAGCTAAAGCTAAAGCTCCACTGGATGTTGAAATGATCATTACATCACACTATTGTTGAAGAAAAAGCCATCTTAAAGCCCTGCCAGTAGAGGGGCTGAAAATGGAAAGTTTGCCCTGAGGGTGATGCTGAACAAAAGGCCATAGAATCATTAGAATCACAAGGATTTATCCCCTTAAAAGCATAAATGTGCCCTTTAAATTTCACACAAGTCTGGCCATTATTTCTTGTGTTAATAAAAGCAAGCTGAAGTTCTGGCCTGAGGGTGGTGCAAGAGGATTTGAAAAGAAGAAGAGAAGAATCTGAAGAAATGAACATGATTTTGTGCAATTAGACACCTTTACAAGGAGCATGGCACCAATTTCACACAAGAAGATCAATTTACTCCTCATGTCCTGTTATGTAGGTGTATACCAGACATAGAGGAAAACACTGGAGAAGCAATTCAGACAATACAGTGATAGAAGAAGTATTCAGATCCTTTACTTAAGTAAAAGTACTAAAAACATACAGTGGAAATACTCCACCACAAGTAAAAGTCTCACATTTAAAACCTTATGTAAAAGTATGTGTTATCAGTGAAATGTACTTAGTCCTGTCTGTGTTTTACTATTATATCTGATGTTTATAGATGAAATACTGCTGCATTAATGTGTATGTTACATTTTACTGCTGCTGTAGATGTTTAAGATTGAGCTCATTTTAATAACTTTATCCACCGATAGGTAGTTTAATCTACAACAATGTGTCATATTCTATAAAACTATATGTAAGTAATGTAGCTCTCCTGTGAGAACCACATACCTCTAATAAATCAGAAAAACAGCAATTTTTTCTACTAATCCAAGGGGGTTTTTAAATAGTTTATTCAACCTAAGAAGTTTATTTAGCTTAAGAGGAAGACAATTTCCTTAACCCACTAAGGAACACTTAATTCTGCAGTTTATCAGAAAAATTCACATTCAAAATCACCATATTTGGAAGTACACTGTTTTCACTGGACAGGAAGGGTATAAAAAACTGTAATCTAAAAAGTAAATAGAAATTAAAGTTGTCAGATAAATATAGTGGAGTGAAAAGTACAACATTTGCCTCTGAGACGCAGTTAAGTGGAAGTATAAAATTGCATATGTGGTATCTGAAGGTCTATACAACACATAAAAATGAAAATACTCTCGACTTTATTTTTGTCCCCGGAGAACAATTGGTTTTACAACGAGGTGCAAAGCGATACATAGAACAGCAAAGACAGTCAGGAGGAGTGTGGGAGACCCAAATACAGTGAGGTCCAACAGCAGTAGTGACTGGTGTCCAACCTACACAGGGTACTAAACCACAGTAGAAACAACAGTACAAAACAAATTAAACTGCATACACACACAAAGAAGGGTACAATGTTGATTACAGGATCTCTGTCATCATAACAAAATCACCATCATCTACGGCATAGACATCATAAAGTACCTCAAATTTGTACTTAGGAACTTGATTAGATGTACTTCCACCACTGGGGAAATGTAGGATCTGTGATATATAATCTGTACTTTCAGTTTTGATATTCCCTGTGTGGTGAAATCTT